GGATAGGGAGTTGAAAAGCGCGCATTTAATTTAATTATATAAATAGGTCACTTGTAGATTAGAATTCAGTCTTAATTAAACATCTACCGTATTAAGGGCGGTAGCACAAAGCTAATCTGGTAACATCCCCCGGTCGGAAGAACACCCCTACGCGAAAGATTAATTGCTCTCCCAAACCCAGACCATTCGACCGTAACACTACACAAGGAGGTTGCTTCGGTTCTCGGTATTGGGGAGGCGTGTGGTTGCTGAGTATAACGGAAGTAAAAATGAAGAATTCTCACGGTAAACAATCCAAGGCGGCCCAAAAGAGAACTTGACCATAATATAAGGATTCAAGTGATACTAATATTTTTTTTAAATAAAATTTGCATCTGAGATATATCTTGAAACTATAAATCATAAAAAAAAGTTTTTTATTATAAATATATTGGTGTATCAACCTTTCTGCACCGGACCATATTAATTATATAGTAAAGAAAATATGGTTAGGCAATCCCTTGATCTTGGACAAGTCTTAAAAATTGCGCAAAGATTAACAGAAAAAAAATATGACATCGCAACAGAATTACTTTCAGCGTTTCGAACAGAGAAAGTTTGTTGTAAGTATAAGTAAGCTGTAAATGTCAATATAATAAATATTTTATTTGTACATAGTTAAATCTTTTTCAAGCATTGAGGTCGAAGACATTCACCCGCTGCTTGAAATCAAGAACGGTGGTTCTTTAATTTTCAAGGATGAAATAGCATTGGAACTTTCAAAGCTTTTGAAGATGTAATGAAAAAGATATTTCGACGCTGGAACCTAAGTGTAAGTTAATATCAATTCGTTCGGAAATTTATTTCTAATTTATTTTAACTGTACTTCACATTTTTTAGCTTGAAAGTGCAAGAAGAACGATAGTTGACACATACTTATTGGAAGCGGTTGACTATAATTTATGATCCAAAAATTTATGACTTCGGAAAAGATAAATTGGCAATATATCCAGAGTATTATATCAGACCCCAACAAGTTGAAAAAAACTTGACTTTAAAAGGTTCAGTTGACTATATTTCTGCTGAAAGAATGGAAGCTACTAATAGTAAGTTACTAATTAGCTAGCAAAATACTCTGTTCTCAATTTCTTCTAACTACTCTTAACTACTTCAGCGTCACTTCTCGCCGGGCATAGTGTACCAAGCCATTGTGTGTTCTGTACTGCTGTAGCAAAGAAAGATGAATCATTTGCTCAAGGTACCGGTGAACTTCTTGGACAAATGAAGGTGCTACATAATTTAAAGCTTATTATTAGAGCTTTCAAAATATATGTAAAAGCAGTTACAAATTACAATTAATTGGTATTATGATATATGTATGTTTAGGTCTATATAAGCTCCAAGTAATTTAAACTTCCATGTAACTTTATCAAACAAGTTACTATCAATATCAATGCTAATTTGTTATATGTAAATTTCAAAAATCTGAATCGTTGGTTGTTGAAAAAATCCAATTTAATTGCTTGTAATGGAAATACTGTTTAATACTTCTGGATTATTTTCATCAAATCATCATGTTTATAACTGCATCTCCTCGTTTCCCATTTTGCATACCCCAGTATCTTTCAATAAAATTGCGCTCACAATGGAACTTTGGATAGATACAATTATTGCTTCTTCTAATGCTGACCTCTGCTCTAAAAAGTCGGGTTCCTCTCAACTCAATATCTGTATCATCACCAAAAACCATTTTCTGAATGCATTTTTCTCCTTCCTTGTTAATATACCAACCTTTGCTTGCTTTTTTGCTGGACCTAAATTTATTCTTGTAACTACGAGTGCATCTTCTGCCATTGCATTGTGATTAGTTGAATGATCAAAACAAAAAACTTCAATACAGCCGGGATGGATTATCTTAAAGATAGGGATTGCTCTACTCATCAACTTTAAAAAATCAATCATTTGATTAATATGAAACAAAAACTACAGAATAAAAAAAAGTGATTGAAATTTAGTTTTATAATACTATATTAATATGCAGTGTTCGTTGCTCTTGAATTTCAGAAAAAGAACCATTTTTGTTTCGCTCCCTGCTTGCCACCTGTAGTTTGCGTTTACTTGGACGAGGCATTTATAGACAATATCAATTAAGATACCTTTCGGGCGGTTTGGTCGTTACACTGCATCGAAAAAATTGAACCATTTCATTGGTGCACCATATTAATATAATTTCTTCTGAGATTATGTAACTCCTTCATTTCTAATTCTGTTTCCACGGCTCCAAAATTTTCATCTTGATTTGTCATCGCAGGGGGGAGAATATGTTACGTTCATTGTAAGCTGATACGTAATATAGAACCGTTATATCAAGCATGTTTTATTATAGTAGCATCCGTACATAATAATAGAGATACAAAGATTTAACTGGTGGGAGATGTCACGCTCCTGCAACAAAACTTTGGGGTCAACCAATACAATAAATCTGAGCCACAGAGAAACTTGAAACTGTAAGATGAAGATTAATTATGAGGACAGTTGGTTATATAAAAACTTGGATATCGCTCCAAGTTTTACGCAACAAAATAAAGACGATTAGAGATGTCATATGAGTTTGAGGCATTCGAGAACGTTGATAACAGATATCCGTCTAGTACTGCTAACGCAATACCTGTCGTATTTGTTGAAGGTTTTCTTGGTCCGGGAGTACCTGAATATTGGGGTCCCTTGGAACACATATTTGCAGGGAATGAGGAGAAGAGTATTAAAGCACGGCGATGTATATTTGTTAAACCTGGTTGTGGAAGCTCACTACATGACAGAGCGGTCGAAATTTTCTACCAGTTAAAGGGGGGAAGAGGTAGCATTCAATATGTAATAATGTGTGATTGTGTTAGAATGAACTGATTATGAGACTAACATAGCATCGGTTGGATTGCTTACGCAAGTTGACTATGGAGAGGCGCATGCGAAAGAGTTTGGTCATGTGCAATATGGGAGAAAATATGATGGCTTATATCCAGAGTGGAGTGTAGAAAAGCCATTGCATTTTATAGGTCATTCTTTGGTAAAGATACTACACACTACACATGTGCATTATGTAATCCAAATATCAAACTCGTATCCATCTACCGGAACTACATTAACAGTATGTATGTAATTATATTACTTTAATTACACACTTTTTCATCATTAGGGCGGAAATACACTGTGGAAATTACAACAACTCCTCGCGGCAAAAGATTTCTTTCCGTCTCAGTTTACCCCACATCCTGATATGATGTGTTCATTAACTACTGTCTCAGCACCTCTACGTGGCAGTCAAAGTGTATACATTCTTGGTAGCCGACATGATGCGCCTGGGCGCGTTCGTCCTTTCTCGTTCGGATGTTGGCTTGCTCGATGCGTGCACCTATACGAATATTTTGATATTAAGTGGCTTAAGAACAAATTCTACGATTTTAATGTAGATCATTGGGGATTCAGTTGTAGGAATAATAAGAATATTGAGATAGCTGATGAGAATGAGGTTGATGAACTTAAGATTGAGACAAAGCAAGAAGAGACAACTCAGAGGAAGTATGGATTATGGAGATGTTTATTAGAGAGCCCATGGTTATATTCTAAAGACAACGCACCATACGATATGACTATTCATGCCATGAAAGAACTCAACGAGACTAGTCGGATGTTCTCTAATACTTTCTATCGATCATATGTAGCATCAATGGTATGTACGCGAACAACGTTTACATTTATTAATGACTAAAGATCGAATATAGTATCTAGGCATTGCCTGTGTTTATTCACTTTAGAACTAACTCTTTAACATATGAATCTACTCTCACCCAGACTCGTGAGGATCTACAAACTCAGTACCACTACCCGCAGTTCTCATTTTCCTTCCAACTTCCAATCTACGTTCTCTCTCGCCAAATAGGACGCTATCAGTTCCCATCTTCCTTGACTATTCCGCCATCCGAACTATCTGAATGGTACGAAAACGATGGTGTATGTCCCGTGATTTCACAACGGCATCCTCGTCCATGTGCGTCTGGATACTGTTTTCATCATCAAGGACTCCCTCCAGTTGATGGATCGGGTAAGGCAAAACCACGAACAGGTGTTTGGGAGGTATGGGAGATTAAGGAGGCAGATCACTTCAGTCTTGTTCCTACATGGAAAGGAACTGAAATGCAACAGAGATTTTATGAGGGATATCGGAAGCATCTAGATAATATTGATGACTTGATCCATGATGGATCAGTAAAAACAAGTAAACATGAGACCGGTTGATGACTATAATATAATTTTAAAATATGTCTCTAATTTGTAGACAAGTGTTAGCGTCATGAAATTGGTCACCCTTAGGAAGCTCTCCTTATATAAATTGCCGCATATCCGGGAACATGATAACTAGCATTCGGGACATCATTCACTCCGCTGACAGCGGTTTCTCGGAAAGGTGGTTCTCCCTTAGCAAAATTTTAATGCTCTCATCATCCGGTCATGCTGGAGCAGGGCGAAATATCTACACTTCGTTCAACACGTTCCCAACGCTCCCATATCTCAACATTACACTATCCTCTCTACAGATTCATCCAAAATCCACATTATTGCAACATTAAATTTCTCACTTCCCTCTTTCTTACCTGACCCACTTTTCAATTAGAAGTAAAGGAAAGTTAGACAGCTTCATCGCCCTAATCAAACTTCCCTATTACACACATTAATATTGAATTCATGACATTCTCATTCACAGGCGTACACTTAAACTATTGCTCTCTAACACTGACAGCCTGATCCAGACAAACCAAGAGACTACTGTACGTGGGAGTGGCTGAAAAGTTTTCATCGATTTAAACTCTATGTATAACCGAGCCTCTATTGCTATTGTAACTTTACTCTTCTCGTCGAATTATCAGCTGACTTGCACCTTAAGTATTACAGTCACGTGGTCAATGTGTTCTTGCCCAAGACGATAAAACTGGGCTTAAATTCTCTTCCTCTTATTAGATCGGATTTTGGTTCTAATAGCAAGGGCGTTAGTGTAGATGCGCATGTTTTTTTCAAATAGTAACTACCGATTCTTAGTAGTAATAAAAGTCTCCAAACAAATCATCGCTACACTTTTAATGCCCTATCTACTGCACCGTAACATTTCCCAGTTCCACTGATGATGCTGTAGGCTACTTTTTGTCCTTTGTCATCAAACTACTTTTAGTTTGCTAATCCATTCCTCTTCTACACTACTGCCTGAATTGCTCATATAAGATTTTCAACGCGTGTAAAGAGCTCTTGGGGGGGAAGCCGAAAGTCACAAGGGTCGCCGGATCAGGACCGTAATATAGGTAAGGCTCCAATTTACGCATTCTTCCCTAAGTAAATGTTCTGACTCAGCGAAATTCTGGCCGATTCGAAATAAGCATATTTTGTTTCGCTATGACCGTTCTAGTTTCGGGATTGTCAAACTACAGAATTTATGTGATAACGTAACATCGCTTATTTGTTGTGATATTAGACAATGTGTATATTTCGGCCCAGAACATTGTATTTACATTTAACTAGTATTTTTAGACGTAAAAATCATATGTAATGTAGGCTAATGATCCTGAATAACCTGAGTGAGAAGTATACATATTAATATTTAATTATTCTTGTTACGTTACTTACGTGACATGAAACAGCGATCCAGGCTTAGTTTCATCGCAAATGGATAAGAGGCAGTGGTCAAGTCATCGAGACTGCTAATATGTAAACACTCTTCTCAATGCACGGATGTATTACTTGCAAATTACATGCGTATTCGTATCTAGTGACGTCGGTAAAATAGTAATAGAATAATGAAACTCTTCACACAGGCAACAATTCCAGCTCCTCGTCCAATCGCTGGCCGTAAATTAAATCCGGGACTAATAATTCGACCAATCGCCATAAGCGAGATACTGACTGAGCAAGTCTACTATGAGAGTTGCCATTCCAGGATTAATTAATTTCCAATTTGAAATTGCATGCGGGAAGGGAAATGTGAAACTATAGTATTGTAGAACCAATGAAGATACTTGGAAGTAGAATTTTCATCATGTAAGCGAATAATTTGGAGAATGTACAAATAATCCGTTGAAACAGTCTGCAAAAGAAAGAATGTTTGATACGGATATGCATTAATAAGTCGATGTGCAAAAACTAAATAGTTTACATCTAACGGCTAAATTGTGTGGTGTGGTGTGTATATGTGTGTGCGTGGTGCGTGGTGTAGTGTGTGTGTTTATATAAATATATATACAATCGTTTATTGTTTGTTTATTTTTATTTACATGACTGTCACTATTTATTTGTTTTACTGATGATCTCGCTGTCAATAAACATCGACTGATAAACACAGTTTTGTTTGTAGTTGTTTGCTAGTTCCATTTGGTTTCTCGGTAATAGTTTTTATGCTCATGTATTTACATACTGGTAACTCGTAGCATAAGCATGACATACATCTAATGGAAAGAAAAGTAATACCCCTATTTGCCATTCAAAGAATTCGATATTCTATGTCAATTCAGGGGCCAACAAAAACAATCTAATTAGCACAATGGTAATCATGATTCTGGGTATGGATTGCATCAGATATTCAATTGTGTTCGAATTATTGGTCGCCATATATATTTGATTAGTATGAATATATATACCATATATCAAACACATGTATCATCGTTACGTTATGGTGGTTATTACTGTTGTTGTTGTTGTTGTTGTTGTTGTTGTTGTTGTTGTTACTGTTGTTACTGTTGTTGTTGTTGTTGTCACTGTAATTAGGTTATTATTACTGTTGTGGTTGTTGTTACTGTTACTGTTACTGTTGTTAGTGTTATTATTATTCGATTAACACGTTCTAGATGGGCTTCTGGGCAAAGGGGTGATATAAAGACGTTGCAATTGGCTTCTCTTATTATAAATTAAAGACAATAGTTGCTATCAATTTATATGTAGAGTACTTAAAAAGACAATAATAGCACTCACAACAGCATGCATGTTGTAATAATGACAATAGTCTATACAACCCAGACTTATTGTTAGATCATCAAGATAAGCTTTGATCGTACTCTGTTTCATATTCACCAAATCCAGTATCACTGGTTTATCCAATCACCCATTTATGTATTCGACGACTTCTACTTCAGCCAGATTGCTATTGTTAACGCCCAGGCTCACTAACCCAATCTTATACATTGCCAATGTGTAGGAACGACTTTCACATCTGACTGTACAACTAGAGCAGATTACCATATGTGGACAAGAATATCTGGAACATTATGTATATCATTTTACTACACATCCCTCTAACTAAATTCTTTGGAAGAATCGATCGATCATCTGATGGCAGTGGGCGGGAGAAGAATTGCTTGTGCGACAATGCACATGCAGATCTCTTCCCGGTAGACATTGGGAAGATGAAATAGTACATATTAAATATTGATGCATTTGATAAATCCCTATTTACCCTTTTTGGTCTATCCACTTTGTTCAATAATTTCCCGAAAAGATAATCAAAATAAAACAACACAAACATTAAGCTAATTTGCCCAAAAATCCAAATAATAAAAATTACAAATAGGATGTTCATTAAACAGAAAACGGGTAAGTTTGATATACAAAAGACATGCAGTGTTATCACCTTGGGATCTGGCAAAATAACTAACATAAACAACAAGACATATATCATAGCAATGGCAGAGAGGATTAGAGCGTACATAATGCCATAAGTATCTGGACGGGAAATTTTCATTCATCATTGCCATTGCCATCAATCCGTTATTAACAGGATTTACCGCACAGTGTTAGGTCCCAAACTCTGGACAAAAACTCGCATCCGATTTAAACGTTGGAATGTAACTGAAAAGAATTCAAAATATTTGTCATCAATAAGCCAGTCGTTTTTATTTAAATCTAACAGTTTATCAAATGTCCATATCGTAATTGTGTAAGTGTATTGTAACTGCCGAAGTGAAAAACTAAAAAGCAAACCGACGCCAATCCTAATTAATAAAAAAACCTGTGTACAATTATGTTGAAACACCATATATATCCTAAACGTAGAAGAAAAAAACCACAACAATTTTACCGCATATTCACTAATAAGAGGTCATAACTCATACGAGCATAACTCATATCTTTTATATTAGTCATAAAAAAGGATCACTATATTCCCTATATATTTTACTGTACAAAATAGATGTATGTATAAACCCCCAAGTGCATCAACACAATATATGTATATATATATAAGTGTCATGACTGTAGGGAGACAACAGATCGAGGGGGAGAGGAACGCAAATTAAAATATCGTACAAGGAAAGAGTAACGCGAATAAGAGAAGGGGAAAGGAAGGGGAAGGGGAAGGGGAAAGGGGAAAGGGGAAAGGGGCTAGGAACAGATGTAAAAAAGAAAGAAAATATAAAGAATTAAACAATCCAAATAATAATTAGCAACCACATCATGCAAAAAAAAATATATATATATATAAAGCATATTAACAGAATAATAAAAAAAAAAAACTTGTCAGCTATATAATCCGATTAAGAACTTGTATATCACAGTCTTCACTCATTACTGCACGCTCGTTGCTGACCAACGCATACAATACGTTCCCCCCAAATCGACTACTAGAATCGGGGATCAGTAGCAGCAGATTACGATGGTGGATGATAGAAATTATCGTATTCATTAACAGTAGGCGAATGCATCGAGTTGACATGACTAGTAAACCCAGAGTGCGATACACCATTAGCTGCCTCAGCATGTGTAGTTGCAATGGGTGATTGGTAAATAGGATTTGTCCCGTAAGTAGAAAATGTGTGTGTATCTACGTGAGATGTAGTATGACTGTGAATAGAATTGGTATCGTATGGCAGGTCGTAATTTGCAACTGCAGTGAGATTACCGATGCCAGCACCGGTGGTATATGGCATTGTCGATTGTGCCAGAGTCGTATCATTTATTCCGGTTGAAGGTAGGTACGATTGGCCAACACCACGATGATATCTGGGCGTTGTCAATCGTCTATAGCCAGCCATATTAGCAGCCATACTATTATAATCATTCACTACCCCCAAGTATGAAGGACGAGATACATCAGGTACTGATGTGATTGGTTCTCGGAAACGTCGGCTCGTGTCGTACGGCCATGTATCGGGGCGAAAGGGAGTAGGGTCCGACGAAGAGCGGTTGTTACGACTGCGAGATCGATGCTGTTGTTCTGCTTCGGCCGCTCTGAAGTCGACCGTCCAATAAGATCCTTTACCAGG